CTTTGTTTCAGAAAAACTGCTAGTGCTTAACTATAGCAAGAGAGTACACACTACATTTTATTCAGTTCATTATCATGAGTGTTTTTATAAAGTCTCTGGATGAACTAGAAATAAGAAGCCTTTAATATTTATTGGTCTACATTATTTGATATAAACGCTTTTTGTGTTGCCGATACACAGCTACTCGTGGTCAGCAAGAGTACCACATGTGGGATTATTTCAGAAATTCAAAAAAAATGAACTAGCATGTAGCTAAATAAAAAACATTTACACTCGTATAATTACATTTTAGATCAAAGAGGCAGTGTGGCAACTGTCATGTTGAGCGATCTGTATACTGAAAATCTTGATTTTTAAACATTTGACTGAAGCAAGATTGTGTTTATGGATTTTTAACAGCTTGGCAGGGTTCATCTGTTGACCTGCCCTCACAGCAGGTGATAGAACACTGTATAAAGCTGCTGAAGTTTGCTTAACTCATTTTGTGGGGGCAGCTTTTTAACTCCATCTAGAATGAAAAAGAAGATACTAAGAGATTCTTTGGAAAGAGAGAGCATTAGAGCAGAGGAGGTCCTGAAGGGAATCCCTAGGGACAACCAGTGGTAAGAAGAAAACTAAAAGTGAAGTTCATCTTTTTTTGTTAGTAATAATAACTAAATCACAGAAGGAGGAGGGTTTGGATGCTAATTCGGGGTCTGTTTGTTCTGTGGACTGTCCATTCAGCTTTATACCAGAGTTCACCTAATACAGCTGAATAACTTGCCCATTAGTCTAATTGTAAAGAACGTAATTGCATTTTTAAACACAGTTAGGGCTTTTGTAAATGTAGATCTAACCAAGGAAAGTTGTAAGGCTACCAAGTATTACATTTTAAGTGACCAAAACTGAATTTTTTAGAACTTGTTTGGATCATGTCATTTGTGATTAAATATGGAGATATGAAAACAAGTTCACTTATGTGAGTTCAAGGCTTGATGACATTAAAAGAACATTCTTGCTCTTAACGTGATAAGGCTTTTATAAACACGTTTTCAGACTTCACAGGAAGTGTTGGCTTGTCAGGTTCTTTGACACACTACTGTACCTGAATACGCTACATGAAAACTAAATGTGACACAGGTATTTGCAAGTTACATAGCTGTAAGTGCAGGGTTCTTAGAGCAAAAATGTTAAGTGATAGTGATAGAATTTTTGCAATAAACAGCTATTTGATAGTGTGGGAAATGTAGAACTCTAGTACAATAGACTTTCTTTAATGAGATTGTGTGGCATACTGATCTCTAATGCAAATGCATTTTTCTTGAGAATCTGAGAGACTGATTTTTAGTATGAGAAGACAAATGTTATTTGGAAGCCATTAGAACAGATTTTCTTGGGATTTGCACTGAAATGTTTGACTTGAGGACTGAATTTCTTGGAGCTGTATGGCTTCCTGACCTTCAAATGAAGGAATTATTTTCAGTCTTTTCACCATCTTCTAAATGTAGACAGGTTGTATTGTTCGGAAATTTTTAAACATCTGTAGCATGTCCCTCAATGGGGAACATTTGGAAAAGGAGGAAGTGGCAGAAAGCCACAAAGAAAGCACATTAATTTAACATTAAACTATAATAAATGTTACAGCAGGACTCAATTCTACAACTCACTTTTTACATGCTCAGTTTTCTGAAGATTCTCCTTTGGGGATGAAACGCCGCATGGTTGGTCCCAGATCAGAGATTATTTTTGTTTTTTAGTTGGTTCACATACCAGAAGGGAATTTGCTAAGTAAATGTGAAAAATGTCTTTTCAATTTTAAATAATTTTTTAAATAACTTCAGTCAACAATATGGTAAAAATATAATTATACATTTACTCTTGAAATAACAGAAGCATCTGGCATAGATTAACTGTCAGTGAGATTACAGGTAAACGAAGACCCTTTTTACCCTCTCACAACTCATCTGTTCTTTCTTTCGCTAGGTCTGACTGAGGAGTTAGGTCTTTTATGGTTTGCAAGACAACTCAGCTGAATTGTATCTTTTAAAAATTTTGTTTTGGGCTTGCGCTTTTGCTAACATTGGGAGCTAGTAACTGCCTAACATACATGGAGAAAGTTGTCAACATAGGAAATGTTTATAGACAGACTTGAAAGCAGAAACATTCTTCATTGAAATATTTATGTTCCTTCAGTGTTTTATAATCTCTGTAGAGATTCTGTATTCAAATACAGGAGCAAATTGTGGAAATGCCAAACTCTGTTGGAAAAACCACCAGAGCTTGTATACTTTAAATTCACTTTTTCAATTCAAGGAATTTACACGCTTCACTGCAGGAACTTGTAATTGCAAGCCATATAAATACTAGATTTTTTTTTCCTGGGGGAGGGGAGGGATGGAAATCCAAAATACAAAAGTGTATATTAAAGAGAGTGAAGCATTTTGGATGAACTGAAAAAGATGAAGGAAGAGCCTAGGAAGGCAGAGTTTTGCTGCTTCCTTACTTCAGGTTGTCCAGAACGCTGCCACGGATACTAAGGGCAGGTCTTCACTACCTGCCGGATCAGCGGGTAGTGATCGATCTATCGGGGGTCGATTTATTGCGTCTAGTGTAGACATGATAAAATCGATCCCCAATTGCGCTCCCCGTCGACTCCGGAACTCCAGCTCGCGAGAGGCAGAAGCGGAGTCGATGGGGGAGCGGCAGCGGTCGACTCGCCACCATCCTCATGGCCAGGTAAGTCGACCTAAGATACGCCGACTTTAGCAACACTATTCATGTAGCTGAAGTTGCGTATCTTAGGTATACACACACACACACACCCCGCCGCTAGTGTAGACCTGGGCTTAATGTGCTCCATCATTCTGCTTTTGCTCCACTACAGCACCCTTTACTGGCTTTCCCTCACCTTTTTATATCAGACATAAGCGCTCTCCTCTTTGAATCCCTACACAACTTCGCTCCTGTCAGCCTCTGTACGTTAGTCTTGTCACACAGAAGATACAGGCAAGCAATAAGAGAAAGTTATTTTAGTTATGATTAAAGGGAGCCTTATAAAGGGATAGAGGGAGAGAACAAGGTAAAAGTGTGCAGTGGTTCAAGTGTAAGGCAAAAGTAAATGGGCTAGAATAATGAAAGGAAAGAACAGAGAGGAAATGGAAAGTGCTCAGGAATTCCTCTATGGATAAAGCTTCTGCAATCTGTGCATCTACTACGGAACAGAGTTAGAGCAAGGGGTTAGTGTGGATAAATGAAATAAGAGGCAAGACTGATGCTGTGTAAGATACCATGTACAGGGGAGGTTTGGAGAGATTAGGCTATTAATGTAAGTAATGGGAAAATTAAAAATTGATCATACAAACATCTGAGAGAAGGTGGTTGGTTTCTTGAATTAGGCTTGTCTGGTGAGTGAGTACACTTGGATTGTACTTCTCTAATAAACTGGAATATAAATCCTCCTGGTTTACCTAAAATAGGTGATCCGTTACTCTGACAGGATCTGGATAAAGTGAAGTATCAGTTTGGGGTAGGGATCACCCTAGAAATGTTGGGTAACTTTATGTGAGAAGTAGTGGTTTCCATTCTTTTTATTGAGGGAGGAAGCTGAGTGGTGCTTGAAACAGGGCTCCACCCAGAGCACACCTGCCCTGTTAAATTAAGAAAATATAATAGGCCAGTTTCAGTGTTTGCTTGATATTGCTTTTTCGGTGAGCTACTGTAAAGTAAATGAGAGAAAGTGGGGAAATTTGACATGTAAGGAATAACTTTTTAAAGCAAATATTTCCTAAGGTGTATGTAAGAATTTTTGTTTCTATTTTTAGTGTCTGGTTTTGGTTATTATAATTTTCTAGAAAACTTGTTTTATAGGTTGATGAAATTATGCCTGCATAAACTTGTTCACAAATCAGTTTTATTGGCAGTAAACAAATTGGGGAGGGGGAGTCTTAATTTTTTTTAACAGACTGAATTCTTGTTTACATCCTTGTTTATTCCTACACCATGTATGTTCACACCAAAAAAAGGAATTTGCTCTGTTTAATATTCTCAGTATTTTCTCTTGCATTCTTTATGGCGCCTAACATTTTGTTTCCTTTTTTGGTGAAATTGGGAATCCCTTAAGTATAGTTCTATGTAACTCAATTCTCCAGTATTGACTGGGAATGAGGTCAGTAGGACCCCAAACTAGCTTCTAAATAACATGGACTCTGTTTCCTCTGTGTAACTGAGATGAGTTTCCCTGCAGAGATTTTACACTTTCTCAACAGCTTAATTACAGAAATCCTTATATCTAGAACATTAATCACATTGAAATAAAAATCCTTAACAATCCAAATTGCATTAGTTAAGTATGTTTTGATTGCATGTGGTGAGTCAAGAACTTGAGTTCAAAACTTTATTTAAAATTTGTGGGTGAAATCCTGGCTGCCTGGAACAATTTACGTGCATGGAATTGAGCATGTGCATAAGTATCTGCAGGATTGGGCTCTGGGGTAGAAAAGCAAGCTGTAATTGAAGGTTTTATTAGTGTATTTTGCAAATGGGAAAAAAATACTGACTAGTTTTAGTTTGAGAATTTCTCATTGCATTGTCCCAGATAGTGACATGGGGCTGCTGCAAGAAGTCTCAGCAAGCTGTTTCCTCCCTCAATATTGCTTCATGTTCCCAGGCGTCAGACTGCAGTTTCTCCATTTATTACTTCAGTCCACTTGCTCACATGCACAAATTAAGAGGCACTTGAGGGCTCTTCTCCTCTGTCTAAGCCCCTGCTGGTATTGCCTGCACCTGTTGACAATGCTAAAAGGATTTCGGTCAGCAGCTGAGTTCCTGGCTCAGCAGCATATCCTCTTATGTGCCTTATTTTTTATAAGTGAATTATCAAATTCTAAGATATAGCAAGTCTATTTTTGAAATTAAAAAAATGATCCAGAGTCCTAGGAATTTGGTGTCCTGTTAACAAGCAGGGGTAGACAAGACTGGAAAATTGATTTAAAGAAAAAACATTTTTGTTCCTTGGGCTACAGGTGGCAATAAAAATAATTGACAAATCTCAGCTGGATGCAGTGAACCTGGAAAAGATCTATCGAGAAGTGCAGATAATGAAAATGCTCGACCACCCGCACATAATAAAACTCTACCAGGTACAGTTACAATCCTCTTGCTTCTCCCCTCCCCCCACGTGTTCTTGTGTAAAATGTTTATGGATGTCTAGTCCTCTACATCAGTGACATTTTATGGGCTGCTGGTTCATAGTATACATTCGGCTTTTATGTGGTTGAGTTGTTTTGGGTGTGTTTTTAGTCTTTGTGCGTGCACAGCAGCATATTGGCCTAATTCATTCTGTGGTTAGCATTCATGTCTGCCTCATACAGAGTGACTCCAGAGGTGTCTGAGATCTAATTTTTAAAAAAACGGGGTGATTTAGGCTGGTGAGAGATGCTAGAGATACCTGGAGACTGAACCTCCTATTTATTCACGTAGCAGGTACAGTCTGAGCAGCAGCTGTGCAAGTTTCCTTCACATTACTTTGCCTATGTGCCTAAACTGAGAGTGAGAGTGGCCATTGGTTTTTCTTGTTTTTTTTTCTGTTGAGACAACCCACTGCCATAACGTTTGGCACCCTGGTTGGTAATCTTGTAAAGACTTGTCCACTGGGATCTGGACTGAACCCTCCAGTCTCCTTTCAGGGAAGTTACCAACCTGCCAATAACACTGCTCTACAGCCAAAATGCTTCTGAAATAAATGTAGTCAAACATTACCAATTCTGGGTCACTGAGAACGAAAATGATGCTTAAAATTGTTGATTGGCTCTAGTTTTCAAGATCTGTTGTTGGGGCCGGGTGGGTCCCAGTCTATTAGAGAGACAAGGTAGGTAAGGTAATATCAAAT